GCACATCTAGTGGTTAAAGCACGTTATTGCATTTGATTATTTTATTATTTTTCACAAAAATGAAACCATCAATAGCAGAAACAGAATTAACTGTCATTAGTAAACCACCCAACAAAAAAGATCATAAGTGGTTTTGTTTTATATATATTTTAAGGATAATAATAGCAATGTAACACTGTCTATGACACTTACTGTCTAACACTGATTTGAAAAACATACAGAAAAAACTAATTCACTGCCCTTAATAAAGTATTTAATACATTTCAGGTGTGCTGTTTTGTTTAGATCATTGACATCTGGAGCTCTTTTAATGTCCTTTTTGATTATTGTTACACCAGGTCTTGTCAAAACCTTTATTCCATATTCAATATCCATTACTAAACAAAACAGCAATTCTACTCCACTACAATTCAGAGGTTAACCTGGTATTTTTACTCCACTACATTTATTTTAGTTACTTTGCAGATTCTGATTAATGATGTGAAATATAAACAACCCTTAAATCAGACTTTAGTTACACCTGAGTAAAATTCAGGGAAAGGTGATTGTCAAGTGCCAACAATCAGGAGAGATATTTGATAGTTGCTGCTTGAGAAGACTAAACATTTATCTGCAGATCCCTATAAAGTATATTCATTACTCGTTATTCTCTACTAATAGTTAATTAAAGACTGTATATAATGGCTATTTTGCACATCCCTTTCAAGATTTCAAGAAGTTCTAAGGTTCATTGACATATCATATACACAACTAATTCAATAACGTGCTTTAACCACTAGGCGGTGCACACAAGGTACACACAGCCATAATAACTTTGTATTATTAGTGTAGGACACTTGTGTATGTATAACATCTGAAGATGTGTAGTTTTATTCATGTTTTCACATAATTGTACAGGATATTGCTATACTATTTCACATGTTTTACTTCTAATATCTGATTTGTAAAACATCACAGACAGAAAGGTATATCCGTCATTTAACAGTAAGCTATTGCAATTCTGAATCCATAGATGTGTCTCCCATCACCCAAATCCCCTGACTATTCTCTCAACTCAGTATTTACATTCTTATATTCAAAGAAAACCAGTAATATCTTTAAAAACGACAAGTCCTTTTATATCAGCTGTGCACCGTTATGGTGTATAACGTATTTTTTTCCGGATTTCACATCAACAGTAAGTCCGGTTAACTAAAATGTCCGTGCGGAACAATACTCCCAACCCATAGATCCGTGGGTGAATAATGTCAATCACCACATACATTACACACACCCCTTCACATTTACATTTGAATTTACATTAAAGTATTTCGTGAGGCCTTCTAAAATGTTTTTAAATATAATTAGGGTTGTAGTTGAAGAGTTTGTAAATTGCGTTGCCTGGCAACGCAATCGCACAACGTCACGTCCGTTAATTCCACATCCACACCAGTCTATGATCCACACACATGGATTAACATCGATTTAATACATTAATGTAGCCTTTGTTTCTGCTAAAAGAGGTGTCGACCAGCTAGGGCAACAAGAAAATCGGCGAAATCAAGTGTGACGATTAAAAAATAAATTAAAAACATCTAATTTTGACAATAAAAACCGACCAATAGGCGCGGTAGACCATTTGCTTAGCACTTCCGGGTAATTCTCCACTGGTTGGGCCATGTTAACAATACCGTGTAACTGTCACGTTTGAAGAGACGAAACCGTGACATATTCACGTCTCCCAGCATGGTAGATCGTCACATGTTCACGTCTTGCCGTGATACCGGGTTGAACTAGCTACCATCACATGTACCTTAGCTTGACTTAAATGTATTAAATGTAGGGTAGGTAAGTTTGAGAAACCGGCTCGAGATCGCTAGAATTTGAAAATACACAACCGGAGAAAATCTGCCACTTCCTTATAGAGCCCCTCCTCCAACACACACGTACGCGCACATGACCAATGAGGGCACGAGATCAGTTTGTGCACAGATGGAAGGCTGACAGGCAGGTAGGCCATCCAGTTATTTTAGCCGGGCCGGCTAAAATGATTGGTCGTGCTTTTTACAGTACCACGGCTTCCACTGATGAAATGTTTTTATGGATTTTTTGTCAAAGCACTTCAGATATTCATTGCTATCGGGATGTTAAGAGCATTCCATGGAATATAACAAAAAGTGTATCTCCAGCCGGTTTCTCAAACTTACCTACCCTACCTTTAAACGTATATAATTAAGTGATATCAAAATATTAATAACTAATGTCAGGCAAACATATTAATATTTGCTTGATTCCAGTGTTGCATTTAGCACATTGCATAGAAACGTTAAGGGATTTTAAGATTCTGAAGTATTATGCTAAAAACTCAATAACTTAGATTATTATTTATAGTTTTGCTGAATAGTCTCATGTCCGCTTACCTTAGAAACGTACAATGCGACGGCAGTGTGCAGATGGGGAGCATGTTAGCTTAGCTTGGTAGCTTGAGCTAGCTCTGTTACTTCTAGCTCGGAGGCAGCAGGTCCCGCCTCGGCTCCGCCTCTTTGCCCTTATTTGGAGCAGGCTGGAGTGGAACTCTGACGTCACTGTCGAGCCGTTATTGGCCGACTCCGCCTACTAAGGGCTTCTCGGCAACTCTGCAGAATCCTATGGGTGACGTCACGGACCCTACGTCCATTTATATATACAGTCTATGGTAAAGACATATTAAAAATGTAGTGGAACACAGGGCTAAGTTCTTTTGCGCAAAGTTTAAGTAGACGACCGCAGATGTTGTCAGGTCCATGACTCTTATTTATTTTTACTAAACGGAAGGCCTTTTCCACTTCCCTCTGATCTATGTTAAAATGCTTGTTGTCTTCAAGTTTAAGCTTCAGTTCAGATATATTATTACTGAAATCAAATGTGTCAAATCGAGAAAAAATGTAGGGCATTTGCAAACTCAACATCTGAATTAAAGCCATCCAGAGTCACATGGCAGCTATTCTTTGTTTCCCGGAGGCCTGTTATGGTTTTCATGCTACTCCAGACTGAGCCAAGGTTGTTTGCAGCCATTTTGTTTTGTAGATCAGATTTAAAATTCTGTTTAGCTTTCAGAATTTCTATTTTAAGTTCCCTATTAGCATTATGCAGATCAGAGGCACTTCCCTGTTTAAAAGCTTGTTTCTTTTTCTGAATGCTGACTTAACCGCCTTGGTCACCCATGGTTTGTTATTTGGGTATATTTTGACTTGCTTACACGGAATAATCATGTACAGTACAGTATATGAGCATGTTACATCAACAAGTTCATCCAAGTCGGCACCACAAGACTCTTTAAACATATCCCAATCAGTGCAGTCATAACATTCCAGCAAACAGGCTACAGATTCTTCTGTCCAGACATTTATGTCCTTTGTCAATGTTTTCTCTCGCTTCAAAACTGTTTTGTATATGGGCAATAGATGCACACAGTTATGATCAGCAGAGCCCATCAATTGCTATTCAAGTATACATTTGAGTTACTTGTACCTTGCTTTTTCCATTTTCTATACAACCTCATACTTCTACTCCACTAGCTTGAGTTACTCTTCAGATTAAAACAGTAAAGCACTGACTCAACTTTTTACTGCACGATAAATTACTTTTAGATTTGATGAAGTGTATTTTTTTTTTTCTGTGCTGGTGTCTTTACTGTAGGGTATTTTTATTATATGTACAGCACTTTGGCTCGACCAAAAATCGTTTAAAACTGTGCTATATAAATAAAACTTGATTTGATTTGATTTGATTTGATTTTACTAATAGTGCCAAACTGTGACTTGTCCTGGAGTATTTTCAGTATGGTATTAGATCTTTTACTTAATTTCAATCAGGAAAGACTTCATTTTTTGGTTTAAAGAACATTTATTGACACATGCGCCAAATGATAGGAAGGGTTATTGTCTTTGGTTATTAGACCCCGACCCTGATATCGTATATTTTAAGGGGGAAATGCAGCCGTGAGTAAAATAAGAAAACGCCCCCCCCCGGGGTCTAGAGACTGGTGGGGATGTTTAAGATCTGGATTTGGTGAGGAGGTGGGATGAAGAGGATGCTGAAGATTTGGATTTGATGAGGAGGTGGGATGAAGAGGATGCTGAAGATTTGGATTTGGGGAGGTGGGATGAAGAGGATGCTGAATATTTGGATTTGGGGAGGTGGGATGAAGAGGATGCTGAAGATTTGGATTTGATGAAGAGGTGGGATGAAGAGGATGCTGAAGATTTGGATTTGATGAGGAGGTGGGATGAAGAGGATGCTGAAGATTTGGATTTGGGGAGGTGGGATGAAGAGGATGCTGAAGATTTGGATTTGATGAAGAGGTGGGATGAAGAGGATGCTCAAGATTTGGATTTGATGAGGAGGTGGGATGAAGAGGATGCTGAAGATTTGGATTTGGGGAGGTGGGATGAAGAGGATGCTGGAGATCTGGATTTGATGAGGAGGAGGGATGAAGAGGATGCTGTATATTTGGATTTGATGAGGAGGAGGGATGAAGAGGATGCTCTGGATTTGAAGAGGAGGAGGGATGAAGAGGATGCTGGATATTTGGATTTGATGAGGAGGTGTGATGAAGAGGAGGCTGAAGATCTGGATTTGAGGAGGTGTGGTTTTTGGATTAGCTCTCCTGGCACTGGATGTGATGGAGGTGGATGGGGTGGAGGTGGATGGGGTGGAGGTGGATGGGGTGGAGGTGGGCCGCAGTATAAATGCCTGAAATCACAGCTGACTGCAGGAGAACCATTTTAAAGTTTGACTGCAGCATGATGATTGGCTGCTGGAGATTGAGGTGAAATGTAATTGGTTCAAAGATGATGCCAATAATGAGCTAACGACATGCAGCTGTGGAGTGGATGAATGCATTCCCAGTCTTCCTGCTTGAACTTGAGCTGAGCTTCATGAAATTATTTGAATATTTCCCCCTCCACTTCCTCTTTGCGACGGGCCACTGAGAGGAGGAGCAACACTGAAACACGAGAGTTATAACTTCACAGAAATGGAAAGGTAAAGTTAGTGTGAGCAGAGCTTCAGTCCAGACAGCGTCTCTGTTTCTCTGAAGAAACAACTGAATCCAGCAGCTTCTTCTCAACAACACAGCAGAACCTCTGCAAACACTGGTGAGTGCACTGCAGAAACACAACGACTCACTACACATTAAAGTGGCATTTAAAAATATTTAGCCTTCTTTAAATATGATTTGACTCTAATAGCAAAATAAGCAGCATGGTATTTTTATATTATGAATAAATGTATGATGTGACAGTAATGGAGATGGACACATTGTGTTTTTAATGGTTTTCTATTGAATTTATTTAGGATCTTACACATGTACACAATTGTGATGTTAACAAGAACCATCAAGCTCCAGATGATATTACTGCAAAAAGGCATATGATTAGTTAAGTTTAGCCTAAATGCGTTGTTACTATTAGTTTAATAACCAACAAGCAGCTGGAATACAAACGTTAGTTTTAAAAGTGACTTTCAGCAGTTAGGGATCAGTCAGACAGCCTTAATGAACGATGTAAAACTACAGAGAGAGAAGAGTGATCAAACTACTATTTTTTAGTCTCAAAACATCTCTATTAAACTTTATACTATTAAAAAACTGAGTCAAATCTTTGGAAATATTCAGAAATGGCGTTGACAGGAAACTGAGAGCTCGTTGACTCTTGCTAAACTAAATGAAAAGCTTTCAGATGTATTTTAAAACTGAACGCTGTTTTTATCTGTGAATCAACAAGCTCACACTGCAGACCAGTCGGACCCGTTCACCCACATGTTTCAAAGGGAAATACATTTAAATGCTGGTTACCATGGTTACAACCGGTTTGTTGGCCCCAGAAAAAGAGATGCACGCCAAATGAGAAATTATAAACTATATTTTTATATCTTGTACTTGAGTAAAAGTAGAAGTACGCAGATCTCGAGTAAAAGTAGAAGTACTCAGATCTTGTACTAGAGTAAAAGTAGAAGTACTCAGATCTTGTACTTGAGTAAAAGTAGAAGTACTCAGATCTTGTACTTGAGTAAAAGAAGAAGTACTCAGATCTTGTACTTGAGTAAAAGTAGAAGTACTCAGATCTTGTACTTGAGTAAAAGTAGAAGTATTCAGATCTTGTACTTGAGTAAAAGTAGAAGTACTCAGATCTTGTACTTGAGTAAAAGAAGAAGTACTCAGGTCTTGTACTTGAATAAAAGTAAAAGTACTCAGATCTTGTACTTGAGTAAAAGTAGAAGTACTCAGATCTTGTACTTGAGTAAAAGAAGAAGTACTCAGATCTTGTACTTGAGTAAAAGTAGTAGTACTCAGATCTTGTACTTGAGTAAAAGAAGAAGTACTCAGATCTTGTACTTGAGTAAATGTAGAAGTACTCAGATCTTGTACTTGAGTAAAAGTAGTAGTACTCAGATCTTGTACTTGAGTAAAAGTAGAAGCACTCAGATCTTGTACTTGAGTAAAAGTAGTAGTACTCAGATCTTGTACTTGAGTAAAAGAAGAAGTACTCAGATCTTGTACTTGAGTAAATGTAGAAGTACTCAGATCTTGTACTTGAGTAAAAGAAGAAGTACTCAGATCTTGTACTTGAGTAAACGTAGAAGTACTCAGATCTTGTACTTGAGTAGAAGAAGAAGTACTCAGATCTTGTACTTGAGTAAATGTAGAAGTACTCAGATCTTGTACTTGAGTAAAAGTAGTAGTACTCAGATCTTGTACTTGAGTAAAAGTAGAAGCACTCAGATCTTGTACTTGAGTAAACGTAGAAGTACTCAGATCTTGTACTTGAGTAAAAGTAGAAGTACTCAGATCTTGTACTTGAGTAAAAGTAGTAGTACTCAGATCTTGTACTTGAGTAAAAGAAGAAGTACTCAGATCTTGTACTTGAGTAAACGTAGAAGTACTCAGATCTTGTACTTGAGTAAAAGTAGAAGTACTCAGATCTTGTACTTGAGTAAAAGAAGAAGTACTCAGATCTTGTACTTGAGTAAAAGTAGAAGTATTCAGATCTTGTACTTGAGTAAAAGTAGTAGTACTCAGATCTTGTACTTGAGTAAAAGAAGAAGTACTCAGATCTTGTACTTGAGTAAAAGTAGAAGTATTCAGATCTTGTACTTGAGTAAAAGTAGAAGTATTCAGATCTTGTACTTGAGTAAAAGTAGAAGTACTCAGATCTTGTACTTGAGTAAAAGAAGAAGTACTCAGGTCTTGTACTTGAGTAAAAGTAGAAGTACTCAGATCTAGTTCTTGAGTAAAAGTAGAAGTATTCAGATCTTGTACTTGAGTAAAAGTAGAAGTACTCAGATCTTGTACTTGAGTAAAAGAAGAAGTACTCAGATCTTGTACTTGAGTAAATGTAGAAGTATTCAGATCTTGTACTTGAGTAAAAGTAGTAGTACTCAGATCTTGTACTTGAGTAAAAGAAGAAGTACTCAGATCTTGTACTTGAGTAAAAGTAGAAGTATTCAGATCTTGTACTTGAGTAAACGTAGAAGTACTCAGATCTTGTACTTGAGTAAAAGTAGAAGTACTCAGATCTTGTACTTGAGTAAAAGAAGAAGTACTCAGATCTTGTACTTGAGTACAAGTAGAAGTACTCAGATCTTGTACTTGAGTAAACGTAGAAGTACTCAGATCTTGTACTTGAGTAAACGTAGAAGTACTCAGATCTTGTACTTGAGTAAACATAGAAGTACTCAGATCTTGTACTTGAGTAAAAGAAGAAGTACTCAGATCTTGTACTTGAGTAAACGTAGAAGTACTCAGATCTTGTACTTGAGTACAAGTAGAAGTACTCAGATCTTGTACTTGAGTAAAAGTAGAAGTACGCCGATCTTGTACTTGAGTAAAAGTAGAAGTACGCCGATCTTGTACTTCAGTAAAAGGAGAAGTACCAGAGTGTAGGAATACTCTGTTACAGTAAAAGTCCTGCATTCAAAATGTTCCTCAAGTAAAAGTAGAAAAGTATGATCATCAAAATATAGTGAAAGTAGCGACAGTAAAAGTAGTCATTGTGCAGATTGGTCCATTTCAGAATAATATATATGATATGTTTTATAATGATTGATCATGAAAGTGTTCTCAAAGCTGGTAAAGGTGCAGCTAGTTTGAATGACTTTGTATACTGCAGGGTAGCTTGTGGATTTACTCCAGGTGGAACTAAAGTCTGATTTAACACTTGATTATATTTCACATCATTCATCCAGATCTGTAAAGTAACTAAAGGTATTACATACATGTAGTGGAGTTTGTTATTTTATTTTGAGCAAACACATCGCACAATATCATCCAAACCATCGGAGGCCAAGCAACTCTTCAACTCTAAGTAATATAAAGGAAAGTTAAAAATGTCTGTTGAAGGCGTCTAGTGGCTTGAAAGAAAAACAAGGAAGGAAGCCACGACAATAAGAATACAAACACTGTACAAACAAATAGCTGCTAAGTACACCTTGGTATAACAAAACTTATAGCAGTCTATTTTTGGTGTAAATTAATACCAGAGGTGGGAAGTAGCCAAGTAGATTTACTCTGTACTTAAGTACACTTATTAGAGGTACTTGTACTTTACTTGAGTATTTCCATGTTATGCTACTGTGTACTTCTACTCCTCTACAGTTCAGAGGTAAAAGGTGTACTTTTACTCCACTACATGTATTTAATACCTTTACTTACTGTACAGATCTGGATCAATGATGTGAAATATGATGAATAGGAACATGACATAATATATAAATAAAGAAATGCATAAATTAATGTATGAATAAAAATAAGAATACAATTATAAAATAATAAATAATCGTGCAAATAAATACAGGAATAAATAAATACAAGGACAATTAATGAATAAATGCTTAATTAAATATGGGAATATTAGTTTATTCTGCAATGAGTACTTTTACTACTAAGTACATTTTCCTAATTGTACTTAAATACTTTAACTTCAGTACCATTCTTGATGCAGTACTTTGACTTGAAATGGAGTATTTTTACAGTGTGGTATTAGTACTTTTACTCAAGTAAACAATCTGAATACTTTTTCCAGCCCTGCCCACAGAGGACTTTGAATAAAGAGTATGTTTTACTGATTTTAGATTTCCCCCCAGAGAGCCACAGTGAGAGGAATGCTGCAATGTGGCACTTCCTGAATGAAAGTATTTCTGATGGAGAGCAGAGCTGCCGTCGAGACAATCCTCTCTATTTCTCCCTAAAGGAACATTAAACTAATCCTGAACACCACAGCAGGATCTCTGCCAAACCCCGGTGAGTACAGAGACGAGACCACCAACTGAATATCTGCTCAACATTTAGTTTCAACTATATCCAGAGAACAGTGACTCCAGATGAACTCATGCTAAAGCTAACAGGCCTCACATGCTTTCTGTCAGAGTTTCTCAGTTTGTCTTTGTACGGCAGCACAGCTGAGGATATTTACTGCGTTTCAACAACCAGTATTTGCTCTCAACTTCAGACAGGAAGTTCCTCTCTTTAACTGAGGTTTGCTGTGGGGGTTTCCTGGTATTAGCGTTCATATTTTCTTCTGCGTATGTGTTTGATTCTCTGCTGTCTCCCTCTCTCTGATTTTCCTTCCTCTCTGTTAGGAACGTGACACAGACACTTGGACTCAAATGCACGACTCAAAAATAAGTTTGCTGTTCAAAAAGGTCTTGACTTGGATAAAGACAAGGTACAAACAAAAACTCACTCATGAGTCAAAACGTAGAAAAGCAAACTTCAAACATGGGAACTAAATAAACTTGACGATGAAAACTTGCTACAAAAGTCTCTTGTTATGAAAAGCTGGCTCTCTTGGTGAGAGAAGACGAACTGGCACAGGACAAAGGGAGACCGGGGTTGCGGTCCAATAGTCCATTTAGCTTAGGAACCTTCCTAACGGAGTGAAATGACCCGGAAGTCCCTCAGTGGCAGCCATGATAAGTGCCGTTCGAATTCTCTAAATGAAAGGAAAGGAGGTTTCAAACTTCCTTTTAACCTCCTTTAGCTTAGGAACCACTGGACCTCCCTAACCGAAAGGAGAGGAGAAAATGCTGCCCCACAATGCCTTGCGGCCGCAGCATTTGCCGTCACACAACAGTCGGCCGTTCACGGAAACAACCGATTATGACCGTGAAATGATATCATAAAAGTTACGGTGCTTATTAAGCATTTTAAAACGTATGTGGTAAGTTGCCAAAGTGCTTTGTTTTGAACGTTCATCAGTATTATAATCAAAAAGAGAAATATGAACGTTAGTTTTTACTGAAATGATCAAATAAAGTCAACATTTCACAGTCTTTACTGAGCTGTGTGGGGTTTGTTCAACTTTTAAAATATGTTTGAATGGTGATATACACAGTGATAGATGTTAAGGACTAACGTTTATAATAAATACATTTGTATTGATTTTAAGATATTTTCATACAATCATACGTATTGGGATCATTTGTATTAATGTGGACCGGAGGGAGAGGGTGACGAGCATAAGTTTCACTTTCCTTTTTTATTTCAATTCCAACTTTGGTCATGAAGAATATGTTTCTCTGTTGTCCCCGTTCATAAAGCACAACAGCATCAGAGCACGGTGCAGAGTCTCTAGATGAGTTTACAGTAGTCCCTCGTTCTTATTAAACATCCATGTTGTAGTCCGCTGTATAGAAAACTGTAGTTTCCATAGTTTCCCCACAGCAGCAGACGCACATTTATGACCTCCGCTGGCGCATCATAAACACGTCGGATAGTGGAAGTGCAGTCGATTCTCTAAAGTACCGCAGTCTCTTCTCCGAAGTCCTTTTGAATTCTCCTATCCACTATCCCTTAACCCCGTGACCTTTCACTCAGAGGTCAAGGGATAGACGATAGGGTTAGAACTTAGGAGCTGATTTTTTGGAGTATTCGAACGCAACCGAGGACTATATATACAAGAGGTATTGGGACACAGGTGGCAACAATCAAGGGAGGGGCTGACAGTCACACGGGGAGGAAGACCCACAAGGGCAGGAGAGCTCTGAAAGAGATAGAAAGTAAGTACCAAAATAAAACAAGAAGTGCAGTGACAGGATTAGACAGGTGAACAAAGAGACTTGACTAAACATAAATCTACCCTGGGCTATGAACTAAACATGAAACAAATAACATGAACCTGATTAACTAACTGAACAAAACATGAATAAATCAACAGACATGACGGGCAGTGGCGGCCGGTGGTCTTTTTTTTTGGTGGGGCTCTTGACGTACCGTAAGTGACCTACCCGAGGGGTCCGGGGGGTTTCCCCCCGGAATTTTTTTTCGAGAAATGACCCCTTAAATGATGACTTCTGGTGATGTTAGAGGGGGGGGGAAAGGAGAAATCGAGGCTTAAAAATATGAGAAGACTGATCAATACCTCCATAATCTTCAGTGTGGAAAATATTATTTATCAACCTGAACATCTACTACTTTACCAGGAATTTGTGTTCTCAGAACTAGTCTGTTTTTTTCTTTCTTAAAACTGTTCATGTTTTATGAACCAACACCTCCACCAAGTAGCTTTACAGTGAACTGCATGTGAGATATAAAATTAATAGCATCTTTACAGTAGCATTAATTATAAATATTTAAGTGGTTCAATACAAGTCACTACAGCATTTCAAACTGAACTGTGAATAAATGCAATTTAAAAAAATAACCACAGCACAAAATGTCATAAATTGTGTTTTTTCTTTGTTTCTCTGAGGATTATTTACAAACAGGCTTATTTACATATAGCAATAACTCAGAAATGAAAAAGCTACATCGTCTAACACGAACAACCACTTAGCATAATGATAATATATGTGTTATGTACAATGTAACTGGCAAGGCTAGAGCAAGAAAGAACATAAAGTTTGCAAAAGGTTTAAATAACTTCAAGTATCTGTCTTCAGATTACGTGGAGGTTTTAGTCCGATGGGAAGCAGATTTTAAGCGACACCGAAGATAAACCAAAAATGTGGTGGAGCTGCAAACCGTGTAGTGTTGCTGGGACAGGACAGGAGCTATAACCGTTGGAAAATACATCACAGACAATGCAACAAACGTGGAGACAGAACAATCACTTCTGTGATAAATGCCCACTTATTAATAAACTTCTAACAACCATGGGAAACCTCCTCTCTACATATAAAGTGATATCCAAGCATGGGAAACAAAAGACAGCATTTACCTGTTTGCATCCAGCTAGCCAAGCCTTTTTTGTGTACCAGCTACTTGCGAAGCCTCGTGTATAAGTTTTGTCTTTTTCACGAGATTGCTGCGATATATTCAAATCGGGTTGGTCCGGTCCAAGGTCTTTAAGCAACAATTTATCTGCCAAACTTCTCCTTTCGAAAGGATTGGAGATTAGCTCTTGAACAGAATTAGGCGGGGACCGAGGTCCGGAGACTCCACCTGCACACGAAGCCATCCTCATCAACTACTGCGTCAACCGGATACGAGTCACTGTCCAAACTACTCACAGACTGCACTGGGCGCTGACATTGGCGCCCGGTGACCGTCATCTTTGACGACGCTGATTGGCTGAAATTATATTTTCGCGGCATAGTTTACACGTTACAGATAGCAACAGTCAGCTGCTGGTGGCTGCTGCTGCACTGGTTGAAGGCTCCTCTCTTAGCGCCCAGACGAGAGAAGGTGCATGGGCAAGGCCAGGCAGGAAACATGTGACTTATCAGTAACTTTAGACATCGTAACACAATTTTAAACGAGATTTTATTGTAGATTATACATTTTACTGATACCAATTATATAATATTTACCTTGTTCATTAAAAATAAAAATAAAAATATATATATTTTTTTTAAACATTCTTTTTTTTTTTTATTTTAATTTTATTTTTATTTTTTTTTTCAATATGGGAAGAGGTGGGGCGGCGCCCCTAGCGCCCCTATGGACCGGCCGCCACTGATGACGGGATGTTACACTCTTTGTCCAAGCTGACACTTAAAGTCTTTGAACAGAGCGCTGTGTTTCTTCTGTTTTGCAGACACTTATGTTAAATAGGGTTGAAACGGTATATGATTTTCATGGTATGACAATCTCCCTAAACAGATTCTGTGTTAAATACGTAGACACAGGACAACATTGAAAATCAAATGTACACCGAATGATAATCCCCAATAAAAAAAAAATTGCGTTACAACGTCAGTGTTAGGGTGGAAATTGAATATTTCGATATTACTGTAACTTATTCTATATATAGTCTGGGAATGTAATGTTTTGCAGAAAGTAATTAGTAGTAGCCAAGCCCCTTTTCCATACTTCCTATGTGCATATGCATATGTGTTAGTTCTTCCGGTCTAGCACAAGCAGCATTGTAAACAATGAGTTTCATTCTCAGCTACACTGCGTGATCAAATGGTTTTACATCATCCATCCTCTGTTAGTGACTGCAGGAAGACATATGAAACTGTCCCAAAATAATCAATTAACCTGTAAGTGTGCTATTTAGCTATCAAACATTAACTATCTGTCTATCTATCTGTCTATCTATCAATCAATCAATCAATCAATCTGTCTATCTATCTATCTATCTATCTATCAATCAATCAATCAATCAATCAATCAATCAATCAATCAATCAATCAATCAATCTATCTATCTATCTATCTATCTGTCTATCTGAGGTCCTCTGAGCAAGGCCTCCTAAGGGTGCCCCGAACCAGGCGGTGGCCCCAAGGCTTTGGAACAAACTCCCCCAGAAACTAAGAGCCTCTGCCTCAATAGAGATTTTTAAGGGGCAGTTAAAGACCCACCTTTTCCGACAGGCCTTTGGGGCATCGGAGGAGGTGAGTTAGTGGCTGTCTTTTATTAGTGTTTTATCCTATGTATTACCTGCTGCTGTTTTATGCCTTTTATTCTACATGTTATAGTTGTACTTTGAATTGTGTCCTGTGTACTGTAAAGCACTTTGTACATCCGTGTTGAGAAGGGTGCTATATAAATAAAGTTTTACTTACTTACTTAATAATAACAATAAATCAAAGATAAACATTATTATCATTATCAACCATGAACAACATTTTAATCAAAACCATTCTTAATAATTAATAACAGACATGTTCATGCTAGTAAAAAGTCATTCATAAAAAAATACATCCTTTTCTAAATGGCCTTGACTTTTAAAATGTCAATTATATTCTTTCAATTCCAAGAAAATAGAGTTTTAAAAAATAATTCTGTTTACCTCTGGTTCCTTACACCATAAGTGATATGGTGTAATATTACCAATATTCCATATTCTTCTGAAC